AAATTCAGTATTCATAATGACTTGTAGAGAGGTCTGTCTGAGGTATTTTTGAAGACATACACACGACAGACCACCTCTATGATCTACCACACTGTTATTGCGTAAACATATTCATGCAAAATACTGTTTACATAGTAAATATCACCATAAAAGATGTAATGTGTAATGCCAGAATCTTCCATTATACTCTACTGTAGTATTAATAACTCAAATTTATATTCCAAAGTGCAACACTGCTCCAATTCGAACTTAAAAACAGCTGTGCAAATAAAATGAGGGTGAGGGGCAGGTATGTAAGATACAAAGTGAGGTATATATGACATATTTGACCATCCAGGAATAGACCTCTACATAACTTAGTGTTTGATATGTGACAGGAAATATGCTAACCCTGTGTATGTAAACCATCTGCCTTCTAAGTCAGATATTTTAACATAATAATCAAACTATATAGTGATATGCTTCTATTTTGGTAAAGAATATCAGGATAATATAATATACAATTTTTACACAAAATAAGGCTATATTCATATTCCATTTATCACAACAGTGGCTGCCAAATAGTCTTGTTTGCCCCCATACCCCCCCATCTGTTTTTGCTCATCAATAAAGGTAAGCAAGCAAAATTCTAGTGGTAGTCATAATAGTTATCTTGCTTGTTTTAAGACTTTTCTTCCTTTGCATTTGTCTAGCTTCAGGTGCGTATGGTGACACATTTATAATTCCAGCTATCAGGAAGTTGAGGCAGGAAGATTTCGAGTGTGAGGCCAGCATGGGTTACATAGTGAGAATGTGTCAAAAAAAAAAAATAAAAAAGAAAGAAAACCAAGAATTTGTCTAGTTTCTAACACATCATTCCATATTTATGATCCAGTTTTCTGCTGCTTTTGATCTGTGTTTGGTTTTCCAATGTTTTAACTGAGTTTTATACTTCAAGAATGTTGTTCTGGGCTAATTACTCCAGCTCTTTGCACACTGACTTTGATATACCCTGCTAGGCCCTTGTTGGTTCAACCTTTGGTTTGGACCTACAAACTGGCATCTGAATAGAGGGCCCATTTAAGCCTTTTTTGTGAGAAAAACTTGAAATAAAATTCTATTAATCTTTCAAGATGTACTGCATTGGAATATATTCTCAATTCCTTAGGCTGAGCTACATGCTACTCTACTTGAAATAACATGGATAGACTATCCTATTTGGAGCATTTACTATGCCACCTTGAAACTAATGTTATAGGATAAGAAAACAAAGTTGAACACTAGTGCCATATTTTATGCTCTATAAACTCTACATTGAACTGACCATCTGTTTACTAAAGTTTAGTTTATTAAAAGTACCGCTGCTTTAAGCAAATATTCACTCATGAGGATTTTATAAATAGAAAATATGAAATATCTTGCAATCATTAAAGAGACTGTGGGAATATTTTCTGTAGGATGGAGAGATCATCAAAATATTATGTGTGAACATAAGGTAGTGAAATAACTTATATGTTGCTTTTCTAAAATATAAGAATACAGAATATGTGTGTATGTATATATGTATATGTGCATTTTTTCCTGTAAACTGACACAAGAAACCTAGTAATACATGTGTGGGGAATTTGTATTTTTTCTATGCTAGTAATATTTCATCTAAATAATGTTATTTGTATCTAATCTAAATAATTTAAAAAACATTTAAGTTACTATGTTACTAATACCTAGCTCATAGAATTAAGTTTTTTGAGAATAAAAATGCTATCTTATATATTTTTATCACTACCACTTAAAACAGAGTGGAACACCGTGGTATCTGATGAATGTTGGTTAAACTGAACTCTGCTTGTCATCTACTTGAGTTTCCTTTTCCCAAAGCAAGAAGCTTTGGCTTTTATGAGCCCCTCCCCGATTTCCTGTTATTATATACAAAGTGCCAAGTAACAGCATTCAAAACAAACTAGGAGTTGCTCAAGCAGTGTTTGTTCAATTTAATCATAAACCCCTTACTTATATGAAATGCAGCCGTCAAGGCAGAAACAGTGATTTTTTTCCCCCCATTTCTAGTCACTTTTCAATAATCTATTCAATACACATTATATAAACATTTATATACATTGATTATGTTTAAGTTAATATGCTTAGTTCTGAAGATAAGGAATCCAGTTTATGTACTAATGGCTCATCAATCCATCAAATTTTTCCCTGACAGCAAAGAAAGGGGAGTGACTGAGTACATGTGTGTATTCATCATCTTTTTTCTTTCAGGTTCTTCAAATGCCCTTTTTAACATGCTCTATTTAAACTCAGTTTAATTAAAATGAGTTAAAATATAGTTAGTGAATACTTGTTAACAGTTTCATGCAATAATGTGTAGGAAAAGATACCTGAAAAGTGATATAACATGGATTGGCAAAGGACTAAGTAGTCAATGTGTTCATCTTCAATCCTGCCAAGAAGCTTCTACCAGTACCTTTATGAATAGCACTGAAGAACTAACACTTCCTAGTTGCCATAAAGTAGAAACATTTACTTTAATTGGACTCTCTTTATATATTTGACAAAAAGCAGAGAAAAAAAATTGCAAATAGCCTACAATGACTACATGACAAGCTCTGATTTAAATGTAAGAAATAAACATCTCAGATCAGCAGGACCAACTATGGGGATCACTCTAGAGGAAGAGTAAGGTGGAGGCTGTGGAGGAAAGGGTATGATAGCAGAATACACTGCCAAAAAGAGAGGATGATACTGTCCCTGGTGGGAAGTACAGAGACTTGCTCTGCTGGACCAGAGATGGCAGTCTAAGAGGGTACTATCTGAAAAGGAGGGGGAGGCACCTTGAAAGGAGAAGCCATCCTCAGAGTAATGATGATAAAGTGCAAGAAGGAAGCAGGCAGTTAAAATCAAAGGTCCTAGAATGCAGGAGCGTATTTTGAATTTAAAGTCACCAAATGTCTATTGTAGTCTCCAAACTGGGCCAATTATTAAACCACATCTTGTTGCGCCTACAGAACAGAAAGCTCTAATATACTCTGAAAGTGAATGCTTCCCTTCATAGAATCTTGTGCTACTGCTGATTAAGAAAATATTATAATTTTAATATTTAAAAAGCTGTAGAACTGTGACTACATTAAAGATTTTCCCTTCATTTCTTTTAGGAAAGATATGAAAATACTGCAAAATAATGAAAGCATCCGGATATGTATACTTAATAGAAATATTTTCCTTACCTCTATTTTTAGGTTCACTTTCTTCCCCTAATTTTTTAATCTTGAAAATCTGTACTTAACATTACAATCATATATTCCTATCTAAATTGAACTACCCTGAACATTTGCCAATTTCTCTCATTCTAACTGTATAATATCCAGAATTTTACTTTTATGCACCTATCCTATAAGATACTTTAGCAAAACATTGACAAAATTCTGATTTGGTTAACTCCATTTCACAAAAATTTTGCCAGTTCTAAAGATGGCTTCTGGTTTACCTAGCTTCTTTTTTTTTTAACTTTTGGGTGTGAATAAATGAAAAATAATCAAAACTTCACATTCAGATAGGTTTTAACACGAAGAAGAGAGACCTACACCATCATTATGTATACAACTACCTGACATAAAAATTCCTAGCAAGGAATACTAGACATTAATAAAGACACCATTAAGCTAATACTAAGAGAATATGGGAAGGAGGGTTAAGGAGAGTAGTGAAGCAGGTGAATTCAAGTATGATATAACTGGCTGATACACTGTAAGAACCTTTGTAAATGCCACAATGTACTCCCACCCAGCACAATAATAAAGGAAAAAAAAAAGAATTTTTAAGTGTTTTAAAATATATCCTGATTTTTAATCCCTTTCAGTGTTAGGTAATGAAAATATATCAGTGTTTGTATTTTTTGTATCATTTGTCTTACTGGCATTTTCTTTAAATAAAAAATATATCAGTCTTTAAAAACTGAGAATTGCTAACATCAATAAACTAAATAACCATCTAATTTAAACCTGCAGTTTTGAAATCATATCTTATGGAGAGATTTAACGTAGAAAATGCCAAACAAATGTTATCTTAGAAACTACTCAGGATAGAGGGTTGTGGGGTGTTTCAAATCCCACCAACCTATTTTGTACTTTGCTTGGCAGGAATGTTTTGAGTCCAGGGAGCATAATTTTTTTTTTTTTTTGTGGTACTGGGGTTTGAACTCAGGGACCTGTGCTTGGTAGGCAGTTGCTCTACCACTTGAGCCACTCCAACAGCCCACAGGGAGCATAATTTTTGAACATTCTTATTTTAATGTAATCTCAGACTTGTAGTTTAGGCTGCTGCCTCTTCAATTCTGTTTTTTTTTTTTTTTGTAAATACCAATATTTTGTACTTTGCTTGGCAGGAATGTTTTGAGTCCAGGGAGCATAATTTTTTTTTTTTTTTTGTGGTACTGGGGTTTGAACTCAGGGACCTGTGCTTGGTAGGCAGTTGCTCTACCACTTGAGCCACTCCAACAGCCCACAGGGAGCATAATTTGAACATTCTTATTTTAATGTAATCTCAGACTTGTAGTTTAGGCTGCTGCCTCTTCAATTCTGTTTTTTTTTTTTTTTTTTTGTAAATACCAATATTCCTTCAGAAATGGAGGTTTGGGGAATGGAATCAAACCTTGAAAGTCTATATTCATGACAAAATAACAACTTTACTACCCCAATAAGAGCATGACTCACAAGTATTTTTAAACAATTCTACAAAATATATGCTATATAAAATTTTCAAATATTTGCAAAGCTTTCAGCATTCACTAAGACCATTTCAATGAAAAACTGTAATACATAAATTGATGTTGCATTAAAATTTGATAGCACTGTAAAATATTAAATTTATAAGAAAATCAGATATTACTTTAATGTTAAATTTAATGTTAACCTTAAATGTAAATTTAATGTTAAATAGCTGAAGGAAAAAAGTGAGTAATAAAAAACAGCCATTATTACTTAAATAAATAAAAATGCACATGGAAAAGTTGGTACCTTTATGCTGGTCTTTCAAATTCTTCAGATAAGAGGTGGTAGCAACAACCCACACTGCAAACTCCCTTGACTTCAGACTTGGAAGTAAATATTCGCAGAGTATTTGCAGCAAGATCACCACAAGTATGTAGACCCACCATCAAGCAATCCTTTAAAGACAACAACAGCAAAAGTTTGGCAATTAAAAGGAATGTCAAAAAATTTGGCTGAAGATTTTAAATGCCTATTCAAATAAGTGAAGCTTTTTATAATCATCAAATTCTACTTAGAAAGTATTGAATGTTTTGTATTTTCACAATGAATAAGTATTTCCTTTATAGGCAAAATAGCCGTGATCTCTTATCACAACCTTTATTTCATTTGATGTCTTTTACAACTACTATTTGCTTAACAAATAAATATGTAAATTAACGACTGGCTCAAGTAAATATAGCATGCACTACTAGGATAAAACTGTGATTTGAGACGTTTTTATCATACTATGAGACTAAACAGGGCAAATATTTGATTGATTAAACTTTTTCAGGTTGCTCATCAAAAACATTATAAAACACTGTTATGAAAATATAAGTGGTGCAAATTGTTATTTCTACCCTAACTCCAAAGTGTTTAGTGTACTCATCAGATGAAACATGGTAATATAAAATTCAATATAAAAACTTTTGTTTTATGGGACACAGCAAAGGCAGTCCTGAGAGGAAAGTTTATAGCCATGAGTGCATATATTAAAAATACTGAAAGATCTCAAGTCAATGACCTAATGATACATCTCAAACTCATAGAAAAACAAGAACAAGCAAATCCCAAAACAAATAGAAGGAGAAAAATAATAAAAGAAAGAGCTGAAATCAATGAAATAGAAACCAAAAAAACCATACAAAGAATTAATGAAACAAAAAGTTGGTTTTTGGAAAAAATAAACAAGATCAATAGACCCCTGGCAAACCTGACTAAAATGAGGAGAGAAACAACCCAAATTAGTAGAATCAGGAATGCAAAAGGGGAGGTAACAACAAACACCATGGAAGTCCAGGAAATCATCAGAGACTACTTTGAGAACCTATATTCAAATAAATTTGAAAATCTTAAAGAAATGGACAGATTTCTAGATACTTATGATCATCCAAAACTGAACCAAGAGGACATTAATCACCTAAATAGAATGAAATTGAAGTAGCAATCAAGAGTCTCCCAAAAAAGAAAAGTCCAGGACCTGATGGATTCTCTGATGAATTCTATCAGACCTTTAAAAAAGAACTAACACCAACCCTCCTTAAACTGGTCTACGAAATAGAAAGGGAAGGAAAACTGCCTAACACATTTTATGAAGCCAGTATTATGCTTATCCCAAAACCAGGCAAAGACACCTCCAAAAAGGAGAGCTATAGGCCAATCTCCTTAATAAACATTGATGCACAAATCCTCAAGAAAATAATGGCAACCGAATTCAACAACACATCAAAAAGATCTTTCACCACGACCAAGTAGGCTTCACCCCAGGGATGCAGGGGTGGTTCAACATACGAAAATCAATAAACGTAATAAACCACATTAACAGAAGCAAAGACAAAAACCACTTGATCATCTCAATAGATGCAGAAAAAGCCTTTGATAAGATCCAACACCATTTCATGATAAAAGCTCTAAGAAAACTAGGAATAGAAGGAAAGTACCTGAACATTATAAAAGCTATATATGACAAACCTACAGCCAGCATTATACTTAATGGAGAAAAACTGAAACCATTCCCTCTAAAATCAGGAACGAGACAAGGATGCCCACTATCCCCACTCCTATTTTACATAGTACTGAAATTCCTAGCCAGAGCAATTAGGCAAGAAGAAGGAATAAAAGGAGTACAAATAGGTAAAGAAACTGTCAAAATATCCCTATTTGCAGACGATATGATCCTACACCTTAAAGACCCAAAAAACTCTACTTAAAAGCTCCTAGACACTATCAATAGCTGTAGCAAGGTAGCAGGATATAAAATCAACATAGAAAACTCATTAGCATTTCTATATATTAATAATGAACAAACTGAGAAAGAATATATGAAAACAATTCCATTTACAATAGCCTCAAAAAAAATCAAATGCCTAGGTGTAAACTTAACAAAGGATGTGAAAGACCTCTACAAGAAAACTATAAACTTCTGAAGAAAGAGATTGAGGAAGACTATAGAAAGTGGAGAGATCTCCCATGCTCATGGAATTGGTAGAATCAACATAGTAAAAATGTCTATACTCCCAAAAGTAATCTACATGTTTAATGCAATTCCCATCAAAATCCCCAAATTCCCAAAATTAATGAACCAATAAAGAAATGGACAAGTGAACTAAACAGAACTTTCTCAAAAGAAGAAATCCAAATGTCCAAAAAACACATGAAAAAATGCTCACCATCTCTAGCAATAAAGGAAATGCAAATCAAAACCACACTAAGATTCCACCTCACCCCTGTTAGACTAGCCATCATTAGAAACACCACCAACAGGTGTTGGCGAAGATGTGGGGAAAAAGGAGCCCTTATACACTGCTGGTGGGAATGCAAACTAGTACAACCACTCTGGAAAAAAATTTGGAGGCTACTTAAAAGTGTAACATAGATCTGTCATATGATTCAGCAATACCACTCTTGGGGATATACACAAAGGAATGTAACACAGGTTACTCCAAAGGCACCTGCACACCCATGTTTATTGCAGCACTATTCACAATAGCCAAGTTATGGAAACAGCCAAGATGCCCCACCACTGACGAATGGATTAAGAAAATGTGGTATTTATACACAATGGAACACTACTTAGCCACGAAGAAGAATGAAATCTTATCATTTGGAAGTAAATGGATGGAACTGGAGAACATCATCCTGAGTGACATTAGCCAGGCCCAGAAGACCAAAAATCGTATGTTCTCCCTCATATGTGGACTTTAGATCAAGGGCAAACACAACAAGGGGACTTGGACTTTGATCATATGATGAGGTGAGAACACACAAGGGAGGTATGAGGAATAGGCAAGAAACGCAAAAAAAAAAAAAAAAAAAAAAAAAACCAAGATAGTATTTGATGTCCTTAATGAAAAGGAACTAATGCAGAAACTTTAAAGCGCAGAGACCAATAGGAAAAGGGGACCAGGAATTAGAGAAAAGGTTATTTGAGAAAAATTAATTTAGAATGTAACACATATGTGTAGGAAAGCAATGTGAGTCAACTCCCTGTGTAGCTATCCTTATCTCAACTAGCAAAAACCCTTGGTCCTTCCTATTATTTCTTATACTCTCTGTTCAACAAAATTAGAGATAAGGGCAAAATAGTTTCTGCCTGGTAGCAAGGGGGTGAGGGGGGGACAGGGAGGGGGTGGGAGTAAAGGGAGGGGGTGGGGGAGGAGTAAAGGGAGGGGGTGGGAGTAAAGGGAGGGAAATGACCTAAATACTGTATGCACATATGAATAAAAGAAATTTAAAAAAATTATAGCAATATATTATAGTAAAAAAAATTTTTGTTCTAAATTTTATGGAAAAATTCTATGAAATGTTTCCTCTAATTATCCAAACCCTAACTTAAATATATGCACACAAATACATAATGAGTACAAATGTGTACATGTACAGAATCTTACTCAATGTACCAATCATTCAAAAGTTGAATTTACCATAACTTTGACATGACTAGTTTGATTAAAGGAGGAAAGAAGACTTTTTATATAGGGAATTTGTGCTCTATTAGAATAATATAGTTTTATTGCTTGGAATTAAAGATTTTTAGAGAGTTTAGATTTTCCTCCTGATTTTACAAGATACTCTTAAGCCCTCATAATCTAAAGGTCACATTAATAAGTATAAGATCTATGAATTGAAAATAAGTGTATTAATTATCAACTCAGATTTTTAAAAAATTAAGTATCTATGTCTCTCAAATGTTAACTAACTTAACCAACAGCTTGGTTACTTTACAGTAACAACTAACATTAATTTGAAAGATTAAAATATTCATATGTGTTTAAGTGTCAAAGTACCAATTATTAATAAACATTAAGTATATAAATTATGTTATAACCATTATGATTGCAGTGCTGAGAAATACATAGCCTGGGTTCACATTCCAGTTCAGTCACAAAGACTGGAGGTATGACTCAAGAGGTAGAGCTTAAGTACAAAATCCTGAGTTTAAACCCCAGTTCCACCATAAAAACAAACCAAAAAACCACAACTCAGTTCCGTGCCAAGTGTCATTTCACAATTTTTGAAACTTTCCAGTGTCTCAGTTTTCTCATCTATGAAATGGGGCTAACAACAGTACCTCAACTCAGCACTGCTGTAAAACTTAAATAAGTTAATTCCTACAAATGACTTGGTACAATCTCTGGCACACCACAAAATTCAGTTGATGTTTTCTATTTTTGGCATTGTTACTATTTACTTTAAATTATGAATTCAAGAAATCTGCACATCCATGTTTACCACAGCATTATTTACTATAAGTAAGCTATGGAAACATCAAGATGCACCACTAATGATGAGTAGATTAAGAAAATGTGGCATTTATATACAGTGGACTTTTATTCAGTCATAAAAGTGAATATAGTGAATGTACTTCCTATACAAGAATGAATATAGTATATTTAGACCTACTGAAATCACCATAAGAAGGGGACCAAGGTAGAAAAGGAGAAAAACAGAGGGGTTGAACAGGACCTGTCTTAGGGGGTTTGTACCAGGGGGAGGGGAAACAATATAAACAAAGAGTATAGGAGGGTGAATATAGTGGAACTATTGGGTACTCATATATGAAAATGGAAAAACAAGACATGTTGAAACTTTTATAGGAATGGAGGTGGTGTGATGAAGGAGAACAATGGAGGGGGTGAATCAACTATGATATATTGTAAGAACTTTGGTAAATGTCACAATGTATACCCAGTACAGCAATAATTTAAAAAAAAAAGAAAAAAGGCAACAAATAAATTACAGATTAAAAATAATGGAACTATTAACTTGTAACTCAAGTATGTTTTTATAATAGTCTTCAGGAATATATACAATTGTATTCAGAATTAGTTAAAATTATTTTATCAAAAATGTTACATTAGCCCATGTAATCTAGAAATAAGGCAGAGTTAAAATCTAACTTTTCTAAGAAAAACGTTTGCACCTTTAGGTGACTTTGACTTGATAGTTGCTTCAGCTACTATTCTCTTGAAAGCAGTTTTTTTGGAGGGTTTTATGACCACTTTGCTTTTCTTGATGATTAGGCTAGTCTGGACACTGAGCCTGAGTCTCATTATGTAGCCCAGGCTGGCTTCAAACTCTAGATCTTCCTGACTCAGTCTTCTGAGTGCTGGGATTACAGACATGTACAACCATTCTGGGCTTGCATAATTTTTAATCATATACTTTCAACAAGATTTTGAGTATTGTTTTTATGTTTCTCAAAATCTACATAAAAACAGTATTAAAAAATTATGTATCTGAAAGTTCAGTTAAATTAATTGGGTCTGTTTAACCCTAAAAAAAAGTTAAGGATAACCTAATTACTGCTTTCACATATAAGAAAAAACATTCATGAGGAGTAACATTTCCTTTAACTGGTGCTTTCCAAAAATATCTAGGAAAAAGAAAAATTCCTCATGTAAAAAAAATGGCCTAACATTACTGAGCTACTGAACAAGGACATAAGTTTACAAAGAACTCTGTTATCTTTGTTTATTCATTTCTTTGTGAAGAATTAAAAAAAAATTAAGGACAGAAAATATAACATGAAAGCTACTTTGTTTTTGTAAGAAATAAAGCCAAATGATCTCCTGAAACTTCTCTATAAAATTGTTTAAGAGCTATTGTCTTTCAATTATATAGTTTGATATACTTGTAATTTAGGAAAAGTTCAAAACTCAGAAGCTACTCTTGCCTAAGGAAATTGTTTATCTGGTCACCAAGTCTAACATTAAATGTAAAAAATTTTACCCTAGATACTTATTTACTTTAAATATCTGCTCTCAACCAGGTGTGGTGGTGAATGCCTGTGATACAAGCTATTCAGAAGGTAGAGACAGATGGGTCCATGGTTCAAGGCCAGTCTAGGCAAAAGTTAGTATGAGATCCTATCTGAGAAAAAAAAAAAAAAAGCCCTTGGCTGAAGTAGTAGAGCACTTGCCTAGGATGCTTGAGGCAGTGAGTTCAATCCCAAGCACTGCATTAAAAAAAAAAAAAAATCCAGGGCTAAAGGAATGGCTCAAGGAGTAGAGTGCCTGCCTGAGTTTAAGTCTCAGTACTATAAAAAACAAAAAACTGTTCTTATTGTAAAGGCATGACAAAATGTTGGAAGCAATGTATATATTAATTGCCCTGATTTGATCATTAGGCACATATATTAAAACATCACAGTGTACCCCCAAAATGTACAAATGTACAAGTATTACAGATTGTGTTCTTGTTAGATTTTTGACAGTTGTGGGTATAATGAAAACCTGCTTAGGGTTTCATTTTCTTGGTTTTTTTAGACTGTTGTGATCAAGCAAGATAACATTAACATGCTTATAAGTTATTAAAACTGTTTATAGAACTCTTTGGGGGACAGGACAATACGGGGGCTTGTATTCAGGGCTCTCCCATGCTAGGCATAGCCCACTTTCCAGCATTTTTGTAAACGGAATTAAATGATACAAAAGCAAAATTACCTCCAGATCGTGAATGATGTCATGCAATTCTGAATCAGCAGTGATGAGAGAGGTTAACGGTGAATAAACACTGCAGTCACTTGATTTTGATTTCATTTTTCTTCTTCCTTTATTTGTCTCACATGTTTCTCTGTAGGCTATCTGTGAAGAAGTATGCTCTATGGCATTGATGGGCAAAAAGTCTACGAGAGAAAAGGCATTTTCAAAACACAGATTTTCTTCTCCTTGCGGTTCAGTCTGTAGGTTTTCCACTTGTTTTCGAATGTTAGAAATCACAGAGCCTGAAAAATCTGGCGAAAAATCTGAAGCAGGTATCTCGTCTTGATTTGCAGGACTATTGTTACACACTTTCTCAGTATCTGCTTCATATAAAACACCATTTTGCACTTTCCTATCTTTTGCCATTTTGAAGGCCAGTCCGTTGACATCTGCTCTTGATTGAGTATGGTAATGCTTCCAATGTTTCTTCAACTTCCTGTTTCTCTCCTTAGCTCCACGAGTATTGGTATTTGAGGAATCAAGTCCATAAACTTTTAAGCCATACATCAAAGACAAAAAGGAGCTTAGGTAGCCTTTACCAGAACCCAAGTCGATTACCTGAAGTAAGAAAAACAATGAGTTGAAGAATTTCAGAAAGTTGGCAGTAGAAAGCATTGTAGAAATTAAAAAAAAAAGTAAATAAATGGATTGTATAATTTCTACAACCTGTTGTTTGCTATTTTAATGTTTTGATTTCTATTAAAAACTAACCTTTGGGATTATTCTATTCAACTTTTTCCTAGAGGTTCCAATCAGTGTAAGTTGTCAAGGAAAACAAGTAAAAGACATGAATATTAGAAGGGAAGAAGTAAAACTGTCTTTATTCATATATGACATGATTGTGTCAACAGAAAATCCTAAAGGGTATATAAAAATGATTACAAATATAGTAGGTATACTTAGCAATGTGTCCGGGGTCAAAACTAATAGAAATTAACAATAATTATACTTAAACATAAAAAATATAGTAGCAATGAACAATTTGAAAGTAAAACTTCAAAATATCTGAATCAAATAATACAAAAATGGAACATCTAGGAATAAATTAATAAAGAACAGATAAGACCTATACACTGAAAACTACAAAACATCACATAAAAATTTAAAAGGTCTAAATAAATATATCATATTTGTGAAATAGCAGGCTCAATATTACAATGGCAATTCTCTTTAAATTCACATAAAGATCAACAGAATTCTAACTGAAGTACTACAAGGGCTGTCCAAACAAATTGACAAGCAGGTATTAAAATTTGTATGGGAAGACAAAGTACCTAGGATAACAATAACAATTTAAAAAACTATAAGGTTAAAGAATATTACTGATTCAATAAGTAATATAATACTACAGTGATGCGAACAGTTTACTAGTGGTATAAAACAGGCATACAAATCAATGGAAAAAATAAGAGTCTGGAACCAGACCTACCCTTAAAAAGTCAATTGATTTTTGACAAATGGCTCAAGGAGAAGACAGCCTTTACAGCAAATGGTACTGGTATTATCTAGATGACTGACAGAAGAAAATGAACCTTCCCTAACCCCCCAAGTAATAGGGATGGAATCCAAATCCTCATGTATGCTTGGCAAATGATCTACCACTTCAGTCATGCTCCCAGCAATTTTATTTTTGAGACGGGGTCTTGCTAATTTTGCCTGGGTTAGCCTTAAACTTGCAATTCTTTTGTCTCCACCTCCTGAGTAGCTGGAATTACAGGCTTATTCCCACCATGCCCAGCTGAAAAAAATAAACTTTTCCTGTCACACATCAAACACAAAGATTAACTAAAAGCAATTACAGATCTAAATATAGTAAAATTTGTAATCTTTTATTGGAAGAAAACATGAGAAAATCTTTGTGATACTGGGATAGGCAAAGATTTCTTAGAGTTCATAAAAGCATGAATGATGAAACAAAGGAAAAAACATTTCATTAAAATTAAAATGTTTGCTATTCACAGTAAAAAAATCAAAATTAAAAAGAAAAAGAAATATTTTCAAAACATGTAACTATGAAAAGGCCTATATCTAGACCACATTTAAAAAAACCCTTACAATGCAATAACTATGGTTGATATTGATGCTGAAATGAATTCTTTTCATCTTCTTTGGTTTCTATGGTCACTGCTAAGGTTAAAATTTTCAGACTCTGGATCTCAATCTATAAAATCTGTATTTGTTAAATCCGTATGTTAAAAGAATAATTAGTATACATATAACACTACTAAACACTGAGTGAATCAAATAATATTGCTATTGAGTGATTTCATGAGAAAGAACTTGTAAGACTTCTTTGGTAAGGACATTCCAATTTGGACTAACTTAGACCTCATCAGAAGTCATAAATTTCAGGTTCTGTTTATTAGGAATAATCTCCATTGTTATGAAAAAGTTCCCTCAACGCAGGTTTGCCATCATACATTAAGCTATTTCAAAAAAATATTTTCTGTGCACTTTAGAAATTAAAATAAATCTTTTATTATCTTTTTTTTTCTTCAGTACTGGGGATCGAATGCACTACTTCATGCTAACTAGATAAATAAGACCACTACTACTTAAGCCAGAGACCCAATCTTTTTGCTTCCAGTTTGTTTTCCAGATAGGGTCTCTTGCTAAATTTGCTCAGACTGGCTTCAGAAGAATCCTACTATTCTGCTTCCCCAGTAGCTGGGCCACAGGCGTGTACCACCATGCCTGGTTTGTTTTTGAGATGGGCTTGCTAACTGTCTGGGCTAGCCTCAAACTGTGATCTTCCTATCTCTGCCTTCTCAGTAGCTGAGATTACAAGTGTGTAACACCTACTCAGCACCACAACAGATATATTGGAATCCTATATTATTTTCATAAATCTTTTTGTAGGGATATGAGAAATAACTTACTATTTTTATAGGCCAATGTAGATAATCATTAATTTTAATTTTAATATCTATTTTCAGGCATCAATACCTTTCACAGAGCTCTATTTCAAAATAGAAATAAATCAGGATTCAGAGAATCCAAATCCTAAAAACATAATGTTTTTGTTATTAAAATGAGGCAAGTACCCTAGACCACAATTTCCATTCACTTTAAAAAGAATGCAACATTAACAGCCATAATTTGTTTTTACTATAAATTGGTTACAGTGAGAACATATCTTTCTTTTTTTTAATTTTTATTTTATTCATATGTGCATACAATGCTTGGGTCATTTCTCCCCCCTTCCCCCACCCTCTCCTTTACCCCCCCCGCCCCCTCCCTCTCCCCCCCACCCCCTTGCTACCGGCAGAAACTATTTTGCCCTTATCTCTAATTTTGTTGAAGAAAGAGTGAGAACTTATCTTTAAAGGACCCGATGTTTAAAGCATGGTAGAGGAAGCCCATCTTATTCACAAATTTATTACATGCAGTTTTGACCAAGCCTGGCCAAAACATACATGCACACATACATAAATAATTCAAAATCAAAAACTTTAAATTTTTGCACATGCATTTTGCAGCTCAGTTGACGCAGAAAAGCTCTCAGACAGTCCCATGTTGTCATCAGTTGTGTTTAAATCTTGTGGAGTCTGCCCCTTAATTTTATATCCCTGCCTTTAATTTTGTGAAAATATGCCTCCCCAAAAAACAAATGGTGCCCAAAAACCAATGTAAAAGTTAATATGCTTAATTTCAGTGATAAAATGAACATTTTAGATGTGTTCAAAGGTGGAATATCTTAAATGGTCCAAACAATGTATGCACATATGAATAAATGAATAAAAAAAAGGTGGAATATCTTTAGCAGAAGATGGGTGGCATTATGAGCAAAAAATGAGTGAAGAATCCATGTATAGTACTGAGCTCTGTATATTCTGAGTATTCAGGGTTTTTCTTCCATGGCAGTCACCTGGGAACCATATACTGATGGTTACCAAGGGTCTATTATATTATTTAAGGACATTTTAAAAGCTTGACAATGATAGTAGAAAATGTAATTTGAGTGATACCAAATGATAGTATTTTAACAATTGAAAAACAGGGAAATATGCTTGCCTGTTTTATTCCATAGTAATCAGCAATACTGCAGATAAGTTCTGACATTTCCTGAACTTCATGAGATTTTTTCATATTCATAAACTCAATTAGCTTCATATTTTCACCTGAATGAAAATAAAACAAAATTGAAATACTGCTATTAAAGTGAAACTGAGTATGAATTGTCAGTTGACACGTTTTTTCAAATTAAATATGAAAATAACATACAGTCCTATTATGATATCTGGGTAACAGATCTCTATTAGTTTAGCTGCTATGACTCAAATTTGGGTTAATAAAATAAATGAAAAGAACTACAGACTATTATTAAAAAGGGTCCCCTACAAAATCAACTTACAAAAATCAGTAGCCTTTCTCTACAACAACAATGAACTAACTGAGAAAGAATATAGGAAAACAATTCCATTTACAATAGCCTCAAAAAAAAAAAAACAAATACCTAGCAGTAAACTTAACAAAGGATGTGAATGACCTCTACAAGGAGAATTACAAACCCCTGAAGAAAGAGACTAAGGAGGAAGACTACAGAAGGTGGAAAGATCTCCGTACTCATGGATTGGAAAAATCAACATAGTAAAAATGGCTATTTTACCAAAAGCAATCTACACGTTCAATGCAATTCCCATCAAAATCGCAATGACATTCATCACAGAGATTGAAAAATCTACCATAAAGTTCATTTGGAAACACAAGAGACTGCGAATAGCCAAGGCAATACTCACAATACCTGACTTCAAACTATACTACAGAGCCATAGCAATAAAAACAGCATGATACTGGCACAAAAACAGACATGAAGAAAAGTGGAACAGAATAGAGGACCCAGATATGAATCCACATAGCTATGCCCACCTTATTTTTGACAAAGGTGCTAAAAACATACGATGGAGAACAGACACCCTCTTCAACAAATGTTACTGGGAAAAGTGGTTATCTGCCTGCAGAAAACTGAAACTAGATCCATGCCTATCACCCTGTACTAGTATCAACTCAAAGTGGATTGAGGACCTTGATATCAGACCCAAAACTCTGAACTTAGTACAGGAAAGATCAGGAAATATTCTGGAAACAATAGGTATAGGAAAACACTTCCTCAATGGAACTCCAGGAGCCCAGCACCTAAGAGAAAGGATGGACAAATGGGACTACATGAAATTAAAAAGTTTCTGCACAATAAAAGAAATGGTCTCTAAATTGAAGAGACCACCCAGAGTGGGAGAAAATATTCAGTGGCTATACATAAGATAAAGGACCGATAATCAGAGGATACAGGGAGCTCAAAAAAACTAAACTCCTCCAAAATCAATGAACCAATAAAGAAGTGGGCAACTGAACTAAATAGAACTTTTTCAAAGGAACAAATCCAAATAGCCAAGAAACATATGAAAAAATGCTTACTACCCCTGGCCATAAAGGAAATGCAAATCAAAACCACACTAAGATTCCACCTCACTCCTGCTAGAATAGCTATCATCAAGAACACCAACAACAACAAATGTTGGCGAGGATGTGTGGAAAAAGGAACCCTCATACACTGCTGATTGGAATGTAAGCTAGTACAACCACTTTGGAAAACAATACGGAGGCTTCTTAAAAAACTAAACATAGATCTGCCGTATGATTCAGCAACACCACTCCTAGGGATATACTCAAAGGAATGTGGCTTAGGTTATTTCAAAGGCACCCACACACTCATGTTTATTGCAGCACTATTCACAATAGCCAAGTTATGGAAACAGCCAATATGCCCCACTACTGATGAATGGATTAAGAAAATGTGGTAATTATACACAATGGAATTTTACTCAGCCACAAAAATTGGAATTTTGTCATTTGCAAGTAAATGGATGGAACTGGAGAACATTAACTTAAGCAAAGTTAACCAGGCTCAGAAGGCCAAAAATCATACGTTCTCCCTCATATGTGGATTATAGACCTAAAACCAATGCAGTAATATTATTGTACATGGGTTACACACTAAGCAGAGAACATGTACAGGAGGAACAGGGAAAGAGAAGGAAACCTATAACTTGAATGTGGCTGATATGCCCACTGTAGAGGAGTGAATAAAGTAATCTCAAACTGGCAGAGGCCACTATGGGAAGGTGACCAGGAAGTAGTGAAGAGGTCTGGTAGAGATGAATCAATGTGGGTTGTAATACACATGTGCATGGAAGCAATGATAGGAATCTCTCCATATAGCTATCTTTATCTCAAACTAGCAAAAATGTCATGTCTTTCATATTATTATCTCTTATGTTTTCTCTTCAACACAATTGGAGAAGAGGGCAGAACAGGTTCTGCCTGGAAGCGAGGGGGGTGGGGGCAGGAGGGAAAGGTGGCCCAAACAATGTATACATATATGAATAAATGTACAAACAATTTAAAAAAAGGGTCCTTGACACAGCAAGCAACTAACTATAAAGGAAAAAACTGATGAATTGTACTATAAAAGAAACTTTTCATCAAAAGACAACTTTAATAGAGTGAAAAGATAAGCTATATAGCGGAATAAGTATTTCCAATACATACAGCTGCGAGAACAAAAGAAATTTCTATACATAAGAAAAACATTACCCAATAGAAAAAAACATAGAAAGAACTTTGTCATCTCACTACCTGTATTATTCAACACAGTAGCTACCAATTACAAGCATTATTTACATTTTAAAGAACCCACATGAAACTGCAAATTAAATTTCTCAGCTGAACTAGCCACATTTGAAGTACTCAACAGTTACATGTGGCTAGACCATCTCTATACTGACCTTTCTATTGTACAGTTTCAGTGTTATTGCAGAACACTCTACCAGATAGTACTTTGAGTATACACCATATATTCTACATTATAAAGTATATGAAAATGGCCAAAGGTAGCCAACATCATCAGACATGTGGGAATTAGATGATGAGAAACTGAAATATAGGGCTAGGATGATTATTGTGGCATGACAGCGTTCACATTTGAGAATGCCTGGGAGTAGACTTACCCTAGCATAACTATACTGGGAAACAACTAAGACTTTGTTGATAAAGTCTTTCCAGGTGCAAGTGGTAGTTACTCAGGATTGGGCAGATGGCAGCCAGCACCTTCTTGGTAACATACTAAGGACATTTTAGGATAGGATTCTGTTAGACAAGTTGAATTCCACAATGGACACAATGACATTCTGCCAGCAGATATTATCCTAGCAAATAAATAAAAGTAACATATTCTGGGACAGGGAATGTATTCCCTCCATGCTCACTTGTCACCTGCATGTACACCTACTTTGCTTAGTTAACTCTTTCTTTTACTGGGCACAGGACAGTGTCCATCTCGACCTTGACTGGTGGCTTCCCTGTTTGTTTTGTCAGGGATACAATATTCTGTTTCACTGTGGTGCCCAAAACACAGTCATTGAACTTTATCAGCTGGGGGAAAGAAATAGGCATGCTATCCTAGATGCAGAGGTGCAATCAGTTATTGCTGGATGGCAATAGCTGGGATAAAGTGCTCACTGTTTTTGGACCAATAGACCACAGCCCCATAGCGAAGATGCTGGTGAACTTATTTGCTCTGGGAGAAAGGTGATGAAATAACTTTGCTTAAGATAATTAGAGAGATAAAATTTAAAAACAGTAAAAGAACTGTATTCAAAGGGCAAAAGCTCCCAACTCTGTTGGGTCCACTTTTAATGAGTGAGCAATTATCACCAATAATGGGACAGAATTACATCTGTCTCCTAGTGAGATACATGAAAAAGGAATTATTTAGGTAGAATTTTTGTCAAAAATTTACAACTTGAATCTAATGGGGGAAAAATATCAAACAAACCTGGCCTGCATGCATCAAAAGTATTAGGAAAAACAAAAGAAAGTTTGAAGAACTGTTACATATTGAAGAGATTAAACATTACAACTAGATACCACAGATGAGCCTGGAATAATTCTTAAGAAAAAAAAAGCTAGAAAATACTTTTCAAAACTTGGAGAAACTTGAATACAGACTGCTTATTGGACAGTATTCCTGAATCAGTGTTAAACACCTGAGTGTGCTAATGTGCGACGGGGTTTGCAGGGAAATGTCCTTGTCCTTACCAGATACACGCTGAGGCACTTGAAGGCTCTTGAGGGTACTGTGTTATGGTCTCCATACCTTATGTTTAAAGGATTCATAGAGTGTGTGTGCATGTGCTGTATGTACATAAAGAACTACAACAAATGTGTAAGGATTTAACAATTGGCGAATCTAGGTGCAAAGCATACTGGATTCATTGTAGTATTTTTTTTTTTTTTAAATTAGTGCTACTGGGGACTGAACTCAGGGCCTCTCACTTAGGCAAACACTCTACTGTTTGAGATACACCCTTAGTCCTTCATTTTAATATTCTTGAAACTTTTGTAGATTTGGAATTTTTCAAAATAAAAAAATGAGATATTAGACAGTAAAGCATTTTGTGGATAATAAAGGTCTGAGATTCATTATTTTATTATTAGAATAATAATCAGATCCACTATTATTATTATTAAAGCTGGTTCACACTTCAGTACTGAGGAGTGCCTTTTTTAAAAACCATACACTCCCAGTCTCTACTTTTTTTGAGACAGGATCTAGGTATATAGCCCAGACTGAGGAACTACAGTTCTCCTGCCTCTGCTTCCCATGTTCCGGGATTACAAAATGCACCACCAGGCCAGGCCTGTTCTTTTCCTTTTAATTGGAATGTACTGTTCATTCACTTTTAGAATAATTATTGATACAGCTAAGTTTTAGTTTATGCTATCACTTGTTTAATTTGTGCCTTCCCCACTTTCTGATACTCATATTACTGCCCCATAGCTCCACCCCTGCCCATGTTCCCCACCTTCTTCCTGAAGAATTAGAATTAACCCACTAAAACAAAAATAAAGACAAGGATTTTGAAATTTGCAGTAGACCACTGTCATGTGTTTGAGGGGCAGGAACTATCTGAAGATATCTAAAGATAGCTGGAGCTAATTTAGGAAAAAATGTAGAGACCTGTAAGTTTTTCTTAATATGGTAAAGAGAAAAACCTGGTCTTCTGAGTAAAAGCTACTTTAGCAGGGCTTATAAAGTAAGAATATACTGCAAAGACACATATATGCTTCTAAGACACATATATTGCTTCTAAGGTCCTAAAAAACATACGTATATACACTAATCACACATACCAGTTCTCCATTTTTTATTTCCTCGGAGGGCTAAAAACAACTCTTCTAAAGGAGTACATATTCCCAAGTTTTGTACAGAATAGTATTTTGCAGCCTGAGCAAAGGCTTCTGCACTCAATAGCTTCTGTGAAGTTTCACAAAATATTTTAGGAAATTCAGTAACACCTAAAAAATCAGAATAGAAAAAGAAACATTAGCAAAAATTAAATAATTAATAGCCAATCCGTATGAGATTTCAAAGCAATAAATGAACATTGGGGTTTTCCAGCAAATTATAATATTTTCATTTCAAATTTTAGCAATATTGGTAGTAGTTCCATTTATCTGTTATATAAACTATTACTATTTGCAGCAACCAGTTTAATATCTTAAAGCTCAAATTAAAATTGGGCCTTTTTCTCATTCTAACAGTAAAAACAAAAAAACCTTAGCATTAAGAGCAGTAATATAGCTATTAAATTATGAACTGTCCTTTCTGACCTACAACTGTGCACCTCAAGTTCAGAACTTGTAACCCTTAGACTTCCTATTCACACTGCCCATGGAGCGACTGTAAGAAGTCCAGTATGTCAGCATTACAGATCTAAAAGTACAACTTGGTTATGATCTGGTGAAACAGCTCATTTATCTCCCATGTCTAATTTTAAGCCAGATATTCTGTAAGTTTAGTATAGTAATTTTCAACAGTTTCTAAATGCTCAAAAATTGAGAATAGAATAGTAAACTATTACACTGTTCACAAATATCCAGAGCCTCCCTTCATATGACGATTATACACCCTATTAAACTTAGGTGTGGCTTCATCTCGCCTAGGCGAACTATACCATTTTCAGACATAAATTTTAAGAAGAATCACTATATTTTTCCTCCCCAATTCTGTAATCTGTGTCCTTTGGGCTGATCTCTGAGTGACTACAACAAGGATAGCAGTACTGTTAAAGTTCAATGTTTGACAGAGCATCTAAGTAAACCACATTGCTTTCAGTCATGTTAATAAGTTATGGCTTATTACCACAGTTGAACCTTGACTGTTCTGATGCATATACCTTTTTTTTTTTAACAAAAAGAAAAAGAAAGAAAAGCATTCCAATTTGTCTATAGTAGTTCAAAGATGCTGCCTGGATAAAAGAGTCTATGTAAGCCCATTCACTGATAATTATTTTTAAAAACTAAAAACAAACAACACCCTCCCAATTCATCCAATGGTATAATGAAGTATGTTTAAAACATTTACCTCATGAAAACATGGTTCAATCTAGGGAAAAGCTTTGGGTCTACAAAATAACCCATACCATATAAAACATATTATATGCTATCAGATCTTCCCCAGCATTGCTGATCCTCACAGTTATTTATAAAATTATAAAAAATTCACTTAAACACAGAGAAGACTGAGAGTATTTGACAAAATCTGAAAGCAACATAACTGATGAAAATTTACAGAATTCTAAATAAAAACCACATCTCAAGCTAATATCATTTTAAAGCTAATACTTCCTAAGTTGTTGATGTTAATATGTAACAAATTCATTAAGAAGAAAATCAGCAGAAATATGTAACTTCTACTTTTAAATCAACTAAATAGAAAGTAAGATCACAAAATTATTATAGTGAATTTATTTAAGATTTTTTTATTACAAAGTTCTTTGGACATTTTACAACTGAATTTACTAATGTAGCTAAAAGTAATAAAATCCACATCAAAATATTTAGGCATGATACAGAGGGGAAAACTCAGTCTACTATTAAGTAAGACTCAGGTTTAATAGCAGTCTCAACATCCCTAGGTTCCAGTGCAGTAATTTCTTAGAGTGTGACAGAATAAGAGTACTAAATCTCAATGTGCAAAGGGACCATTATAATAGTTACTGGACTATGTTGCCAGCAAAAAGAAATGTGATGTTTCTGTTGGAAAAGTAAAAGTTAAAATTAACTAAACTCTTACTGAAAATACTTGAAAAAATTCCAATTCAACCTGAAATAACTTGCTTTTAATTATAACCCCCCCCCAGTAATTTCAGAAAATTTGAGGCCAAAATTACAATATTATCTTTATAATGATGATGATTAATTTTTAAAGGATAGTGTTCTGATTCAGTCTAATAGTTTGTCATTAGTGCAAATACCAGTTTACTTAGCCCAGAATTCCATGAATAAATTTTTTTTGAATTATGAAAATGTAACTTCTGTACTTTATTTTCAAGTGATTCAGCCTGTAACTTCCATAATTTGCTATTCTTAGAGTCAGTTTTACTTCCATCTGTGAAACAGTATGTAAGAAAGTTCTATAGCAGTGGTAATGGTAGGAAAGTCCTCATAGTGTGTCACTGTGTGTTTGTATAATCCATTTCAGACTGGCAACTAGTAAAACAAGCTATAGTACTACTTAGATTTAGGCAATTCTTAGATATAATTTTTACCAGAGGAAAGCTTTGTTTTTTAAATTTGCTGCACATGAGTATTATGAGGCTTCATTAATTTGCACACGTCTCCCTCTACTGGAAGTTTCTGTTCTCTTTTACTACATGCTTTACCTGTCTCCTTTACATACTCATATTTTTTGTGCAACCTATTTAGCTATCCTACAGAAGTTCTTATATGTTATAAGATAGTTTTTAAGATAGATTAATTGGGAAAGAAGCAGGGTAGATTCTTTTTTATGAGAACAGGATACCTCCACTGTTTTCTGTTTATACCAGAGATCAATTTATAAGGAAAAACAGAAAAGTCACAAATACATGTTAGATTATGAAAATCTTATGGAAGAGAAATGCATAACAAAATTTCAAAATTAAAATAAAACAATTAATAAATATACAATTAATAAATATAAAATTTCAAAATAAATGTCTATTATCTTACTTGAATGTTGTACAGTTTAAAAAAGATGATCTCTCAGGGTTCATGATAAGTTATCACAGCTTTTGCTAACAGCTACTATCCAGTATTGTACATATACCCTTTCATAGGACTTTACCTTTTATATGGCAGTTTACTGATAAGCTAGTTAATTGGTGCTCTTATCCTCATTCACATTGGAAAAGACAGATTTAAGTAGGTACAGTCACTAAGTGGCAGGGCAAGTGAACAAAAGCAGTCCGACTTCAGACCTTGGTCTTCATTCCTATAGTACATTAGCATGCCACTGGAGTAAGTACAGTGGACAGCAAGGAAAATCAAATACAATAGCAGTGAGCATTAAGCAAACCTGAATGTCAGAATCAGGGTATTTCACACTCACTTTTTCTTCATAAGCATTTTCTTCACTCCTCCTTAACACCTCCCACTTTACCTAAAATAATCTTAAAGTTTCCTGAAATTAAAAAGCAATTTTTACATATAAAAAACTTGGTAAGTCTCTGAAAAGGAAAAATATATGTAAGATTTTGCTGTTGTGTGTTTATAGAAACAAAGTAATTCTACTGTTCATGTTCAAAGCAAGAGTTGTAAAGTAAGAGTACTTTGCACAGTATGAATGAATGAATGAATGCATGCATGACAGTAATATTTCAATACACTTACTATTGTAGCATCATCAACTACACAAGGAGAAAGGAATTCTCCTTACACTCTGTGGTGGCTGTAATCACTGAGGTCACTAGAAGAACTTCAATAGTACCACTGATTCCTGTTAGGGAAGCATAAAACCTCATTTCAGCCCAAATATTTATAATCTGAGGGTGAGACAAGATTTAAACATATGTGATATGTTAAGATGCAATTATGTTCTAAATTTTGAGGTTTAACTGTCTTATAGGTGTTGGGGAAATTGTTAATCACACAGCCTTTGGCCCAGAATTTCAAGAAGAAATCAACAGTACCTTCTTACTAATAATCTTCACAAGGATATAGAAATCTTTTGTTTTTAGTTCTACATGAATACCCTTCCAGATGTCTTCAATTCAAAAGGTTCAAATGTGAACTGAATATTCTTATGCTCTCTGAATCTTTCCCTTCTCCAATTCCTATTTTAATAGCATTTTCATTCAGTGATGATATTAGAAATTTTTACATTGTATTAAATGTTTCTTGTATTCTTCAAGCTACCCATTCATTGTGTTATAAAAATGGTCTTTCATTTGGAAATCTCCCCCATCACTGCTGTGGTTCAAATGCTATTAAAACTCACCAATGTACTAGAATAGCCCCAAAGTTGAAATTTTCCTCAAAAAAAAAAAATGCCCATAGAACAATGCTGAATAATTGTTAGTTGAATTAACCATGTCTTCTAAAATGGAAATTTACTTTTACTCAATGCAAATTTAATCAAACATCTTAAGGCTTTGACTTTTAACTTCAATATCTTGTAACTGTTTAACAGCATTTAACTAAAAGTTAAGTCTGCTGTACCAAACTTTGAAAATTAAACATGGTTTAAGTTAAACTTTATGAATGTTTTATTCTATCCATCATTCTGTAAAATACCAAGGGAGAAAAAATACATATTGTTGCTTTTAAAATAAATCAATTTATAGGACCTAATTATGTGCCAGGAAACTTTTTGCCTAAACTATTCGACTTTAATTTATAATTGCATATAAACTGAAAAAAATGTTATTTAAACACACAAACCATATTTTTGGATGGAATAAGATACAATTAACAAGGAACTGACATGCATGTCCTAACTGCAACAAAATTAATATCACATTGAATGTATAAATACACTGAACAAATCCAAAAGCATTTTCACATTAACTACATTATTTATAACAATGAAATTAAATGTAAAACTAGAAATATTTAAACATAGTATTTAATTCCAATAGTCTCTGTGTAGAGCTTAATTTTCAGGGAAAAATTTTTTCAATAAAACAAATATAGAAATTCTTTTTCTAAAAATGAGTATACTAGATAAAAAGTAAAGTAATTCAGGGGCACCTACTATGTGACATGGTTGTTGAGGAAGATTACTTCAGTTCCTACTAAAATGACATGAAAATCCTTAAGAAACACAATGGAGAAGAATAAAATAAAGAACAGCTTGACTTGCAGGGGCAAGGGACAGAATTTTATTGGGTAGAATTTTAAAAGATTAACTTGAAGAGCAGTATAAGTGAGATACATGTTTTTAAGTTCAAAGACTAAAAATGTTGAAAAACTTATTTGAAAAATTAAACCAACTAGCTTTGGATAAAATCACTGTTACAAGCCAGGTAGCAGCAGCTCATGCCTATAACCATAGGTACTTGGGAGGCTGGGACTGGGAGGATCACAGTTCCAGGCCAGCCTGGGCAAATAGTTTGTGAGACCTCCCCCCATCTCCAAAATAACCATAGCAAAATGGACTGGAGGTGTGGTTCAAGCTACAGAGTGCTTGCTTTGCTGGTGTGAAACCATGAGTTCAAATTCCAGTCCCACCGAAAAAAATAAAAAAAAAAGAAAAAACACTGTTAAATAGTTGGATATTAAAAATTAAAATATAAAAGCATTACCTGGCTATGCTCAGAACATAGGATTGTCATACACTGATCTAGAAAATGTATAACAGACTACTTCAAATGGGGAAAAAAAAAGTAGTACTTCAATCTTTTCATTTTGTTGTATATAATTATTGATGTCTTTTAGCTATCCTATTGATATGTAAGCTTGTGAAGACAAAGATTATACCTGGTTCACTGTTAAGATTTACACATAACACATAGTTCAGTATAACAGTGAGAAATGCTAAGTCATTTTGCAAAAAATAAATTGGGATATAAAAACAATTAGTCAACCTAAGGTCAAAGGCTTAGAGATTACTGACCTAGCTATTTTTTTTTTTTTTTTTTTTTGGAACTGGTGTCTGAACTTAGGGCCTCATGTTTTGCTAGGCAGGTCCTCTTACTGCTTGGGCTATTTTGCCAGCCTGCCCTATACTTAACTCTACAAATGACCACAGCAAGTTTTGAAGAATAGTGACCTCGCAAGGGTCAAAATTTTGATACTTAAGGACTGCCTATCCATTTCTCTCAAATAGATCAGTAAGATAAAGTCTATTTAATGGATTCTGGCCCACAGTAAATTACCCTATTGCCTACAGCTGTGATAATTTATACTATACAGTAAAACATCAGAACTAATTTTACGAACTTAATTTGGTAGGGTAGCACTGATTATGACTTTTAATAATCTCTAGTTGGATGATCTCAAATGCAATTGTCTTAGTCTATTCCTACTTCCTAAACACACTGTCAAGTTTCCCACATTGCACTCCAGGGCATTTGCATTCCCTATTCTGACAAACTGGAATTCTCTCCCTCCAGATAACATCATGGCTCATTTTTCTCCTATTTTTATTTTTTTCTCCAGAGTAACCTCAATGAGATCTTGCCAGGGCAACTGCAAACATACTTTTCTCTTTCCCCTCCCCTTATCTACTCACATATGTACTTAATTTTTCTCTGTGGCTATTACAACTTTTTTTGTGTGTTCTACTTTCTCCCTCTAGAAGCAAGCAAGATGAAGATAAGATTTTGTTTTACTGCTATTTCCCTAACTTCTTGAAAAGTGCCTGGCACATAGCTAGAACTTCCTCAAGATCACAGAACTGGTTTTTTGGTAGAACTGGAATTGAACCCTTTTTGACTCTAAAATTTACAAATATAACTGCTAAATTATATTGTCCATAATAATATTTCTTTAATAAGGTAAAAATCTAATCAAAGGATCTTATGCTTTTCATACATTGATGAGGAACAATGCCCATCTTTCTATAAATAAAAAATAAGATTTCCTACAAGCACAAATTATAAAACATCATTCTTTTTCAACATAGAGGCAGCTGATCATTTGTACAATTGAGTATTTTGTATAAAAAAGTTAGCAGGTGCAGCGACATTTCAAATGATAACAATCTATTCTAGGTTCCATTGTTATTAGATAGATACAAAATTGGCTGTAAAAGTTTCCCAAACAATGTTAGCATTATTTCTGGCTTAAGACAACAAATAGGTGGTGTTATTCATTCGTCCAATCACACCTACCAAGTACCTATCGATCATCTATTTTGACCTGGCATGGTTCCAGACACTAGAGATAAAACAGTGAAGAAAATAATTCTTACATTTCTGAAGGGGTGAACAATAAAAAAAAACGAGGAATGTATTAGTAAGTCAGAGTAGATTGTTTTCATCGATATGAGGACTTTAAAATCAAACTAGATGACCCAGGTTTAAGTTCTGAATTATCCATTAATAGCTGTGTCCCTGGCAAATTAAGTTACAATTTCACATATGGGGAATAAAAAAACCCATTTTGCAAGACTGATGTAAAGATTAAGAGATGACATGCATGAAAACACATTGAAAGATACATAGTATCAATTAATCCAATTATTAGAATATGTAAGGCAATCTAATTCTCCCATTGTGTGGAGCCAAATTAAACTCTTGAAAATCTCGTATTTCCAGGTAGCTTCTTTACTTTTTCCTTTTGAAAGCTGACACGAGTCATTCATTCACCAAATTTCCCTGAGCACTTAATGCAGGTCAAGTATTTTTGCAGGTGCAGGGAATGTCAGTTAAGGAAAATCAGGGTTCCTACTCTTTATGAGCTTAAGCAAAGTTGTCATGTTATCACGAGGACAGGATATCATGGAGCAAAAGGAAGAGGTGTCTAACTTTTCAACAATCAACAATGATTTTAAAGAACCAATATTTACCAAGAGCTATTTATTGTCAGAGGCTGCTACAGTCGGAAGGAAGAAGCTCCAGGGAGTTCATCATTAGCAGGGCAAGGTCTGGAAAGACTAAATGCAAAGCAGAAATCCCAGGAGCTGGAGGTGTTCTTTTGCCATTTTATTTTCAAAACAGCATCTAGGTTTCTGGAGGGCAGAAAATCCCAGCGCCTACAAACTTTCACTGGCACATAACAGGCGTGTTATAAGCAGTTTTTAAAAGAATTGGCGAAGATGCACGGTCTGCACTGCTTCTGGCCTAGTCCACGATCCAATCGTCTCTTTCCTGTACTTAGGAAACGGACTCTTCACTGCTACCAGCTTATGCTTTTGCATCACTGAGCAGTTTTTCTCAAATAACTCGTCTTTTCAAATGTGATGCCTACCTGACTCCAAAAGCTTCCACTACACTTAAACAATTATCGAATTATTCAAGGAATGAACGCCTGCCCTGTGTCTTAATTTTATTAAGCTGTGGAAATGAACAACACCCGGAGATGAGACTCCAGAAGGGACTCCCCGCCGACACTCTGCTAATCTGATGATCCCTCGCGGGTTATTCTAACCGGTTCGCTTGGGTCCCGCCTGGCGGCCCGCCTCTCCCCCAGTTGCGGTCGGATGACACCAGGGGGCGCACTTTGCAGATAGGTACCCTCCGCAGGGCTTCCTTCCCGCCCGCCCACCATTCACCTGATCCCCTCTCTGCTTCCACCAGAGGGCGCGGCGCCGAAAGCTGGCGGTCGGCCTCCGCCGCCGACTTCCGCAACGCCGCCAGCACCGTCTCCGGGGGCAAGTCGACCAGCTCCTCCCACACAGCCTCCGTGTAGAAGTCCACCGTATGTGCGTTGGAAATGGACAGGGCGTCCCTTAGGAACTGCAGCAAGCCCTGTAACTTGACATGCAGCGTGGGCAGATCGTGGGTGAACGGCAGTGGGCGAGAAGCAGCCATAACACTCGCCCTCCCGGGCTATAGGTGGCGCAAACATGGCCGCGCAGAGACAGCTGGGTCCCAGTAGCATAGGGCAGATTAGTAGAGCTCCGAGCTGAGCTCTGATAGGTGGCCGATTGCGTCATCTCGGTGACGTATTTCCTGAGCGTCCGTTACGGTGATCGGTCGACGCAACTGGCCTACAATGGCGCCTGTGGGGCCGGCGGCAAGGCGGCGTCCACTCGGAGGTTTGGGGGCGCGAGGCGAAGGGGTTGCTTCGGTCGGATTCAGGAAGGAGAATGTGAGACGGAGAACCTGGCGGCCTAGCCATCTGCAGGCCTTCGCGGGGAGCGTTCGCGAAGGTAAGATGACAGCCATTTAGAAGCCTACAAAGCCCTGGGATGTGTGACCTGCCTAAAGCAGTCTTTCGGAACCCGACCCGGGACACTCGTGGCGCAGGAGGCCATTGCTACGTCCGCTGAAACCGTGGGCTTCTAACATGTGGACGGGAAGACGCAGTGTTGCTAACTTTTAAGTCTGTAGACACTCCTTCCCCATAAGTTACCCAGTTCTTCATCAAAACTACTTTTCCGAAATCGTAAGCAGAGAGCATCTACCGGTGTCCGTGCGCATGAGTGACACAAGTGACACAAATGCATTCGCACCTGTGTTAGCGAAAAGGCTGGAGAGCGGGACGGGGTAGAAATGCACTGCCCCAGAGCCTTACAGACACCGCAGTAGCCCTCCCCTCCTATCCTACCATTCTTCCTTTCCCTTGTGTTAGCTTGTCCTGCCGTCTGTAAAGTCCCTGAGATTGCACTTCGTCTAAGTTTAGTCTTCTGAACTTATTTCCTGAACGTCCAGGGTTTGTTTCAGATGAAGTAAAGAATTTTTTTTTTTTTTGATGGTGGTACTGGGGTTTGAACTCAGAATCTTAGAATTTTTCAGGTAGGGTCATGTGTTTTGCTGGGTTGGCCTAAGACTGTGATCCTCCCACCTACAGCTTCCCAGTTGCTGGGATCACAGGCCTGAGCCACCACTTAGGGTTGTTTTGCCAAAATGGGTTCTTGCTAACTTTTTTGCCAGCGTGGTGGGAACTGTGATCTTCCCCATTTCTCTCTTCTGAGTAGCTGAGTTTACAAGCCCGAGCACCACACCCAGCCAAGAACCTGGTTTGTGAATACAATTATAACTCCAAGTTGTACAACAGTCTGATTTGGTCATTCTTACTTGTGTGTATCTGACTAATGTTAGCCTAGTGTTTTTACCAGGGATCAATTTGGCATTTAGTTCATCAGCTTTAATTTGTTGCCTTTGAAAGCTAAGTAAAGTATTTCTAGCATTTAGTGGGATGATGTAAAGTCTCATTTTAATTAACAGTTCTATTTATCACTCAGTTTATATTCTCTGAAAGTAATTATAACTGAAATCCTTCAATGTAGGACAAGGCTTTGCATTTCGAAGAAAACTGAAGATTCAGCAAAATTACAAGAAATTGCAGTGGAAGGAAAAGAAGGCTCAAGCATCACAGGAATCCAAGTTCACAGATCAATACCCAGACCATCTGAAACATCTCTATTTAGCTGAAGAAGAAAGACTCAGGAAACAACATAGAAAAGTTGGCCAGCCTTTGTCAAAAAAACAGGTTGACCATTCTTTGCCCGAAGAACAGTGTAGCACTGATCAGACTTTGTCTGAAGACCAGTGTAGTATTGTTCACCAGTCTCAGTCTGAAGGACAATGTATAAAAACAGTAAAGTATGTATTTATTTTTTTCTTTTGAAATCCTTTACTTTAAATGTAAGTAGAGTGTTATGAAAGGTATTGTGGAACAATTTACATAGGAATTGGGATTTTTCTTATTTAACACATTTTTGAAGTCATAATTTAATTAGAAGAACATTCTCATGGAGTCTTTCTTGTTAGCTTTAAATGACTGAATTAGGCTAGTATAGCATAAATGGAAAGGTAATGAAATGAGAAATCTGAGTTTTGGAATTTCTGCCTGTCAAAAACATGTAACTTCTTGGACCATAATTAACTCCTGTTATTAATGTACTTTCTTAAAATAATTTTTGAGAAATGTACATTAACAGCTTGGATTTTAGAGCCATACTTAACATTTTGGTGTCCCAGTGTTCTCCGAAATGGGAAGGACAGAATAATAAGTACGTAATTGAGAGCCTCCATGTTGCACAACTCCATAATGGATCATTCACTAAGGTGAAGGGTGTTCTAAAGTATTTCTTGTTAATTTATAGCAGGCACTTAAAAGGTGTGTGATCCATGGTAAGTGCTTGTGAATGTTACTGCTACTGTTCCTGTTACTAATCTAGATTGCTAATTTATAGCAGGCACTTAAAAGGTGTGTGATCCATGGTAAGTGCTTGTGAATGTTACTGCTACTGTTCCTGTTACTAATCTAGATTGTCTGCAGAGGACAGGATTGGATTGCAATTTAAAAATAAATGGAACAGCTCCATATACTTTGATTTTTATAAGAGATAATTTATAAAGCTGTTTGTATTTGTGATCATAATAATTGTACTAAAATTTTGTCCTTAAAAATTGTGAATTACTTGTGCTGCAAATAAAATACGACCCCAGAAAAAAGTGTAGTTGGGGATAAAGGCAGAGACACTAAATGTCCAGTTTTTTCAGCAGGCTTGTCTGTCATATTATTAAGTAATGGGTTTGAATCTTAGGGAAAAGATAAGCACTAGAAACAGAGATTTGAGTGATTCCCACTGATTGAAATAAAGAGGACTACATCATGAGATGAGAAGAAAACACATCATATTTTAAAAATTACTTTCTATTTTTAGGTGAAAACAGGAAAATCTTGACATTGGTGAAATTAAATTTGTTAAAAATGGAGAATTGAGGGAGTACAATGACAGCTAAGTCAGTAGAGGAGAACTGTGGAAAATAGGGATTAGTCAGTTATCAAAAGCTATGTAATCGCTTGGGAGGCAAATCAAGAGGATCTCTGCCATGCTTGCTAGACAGGTGTTCTACCACTTTAGCCACTCCACCAGTCCATCAACTATGTTTTTAATGTCTTATTTGAACATTTTAAAAAATGTTTCCTTTTTTCTTTTCCTCCCTCAATTAATTTGCATTTGTGAAGTTTTACTATACAGTTACTGTATTTGACACACTCTTGTATCACAGTTTTGCTTAAATCATTTTTTAATACCTGTAATTTGTCTTAATTTATCTTACTAAGTTCCATGACTATTCCAAAGAAAAATAAAAAGAAAACATCAAATCAAAAAGCACAAGAAGAATATGAACAAATACGAGCTAAGCGTGCTGCTAAGAAACAAGTAAGTTCTACTTTTAAAATATTTAGGTTCATTTTCCTTATTTATTTGCTGTGCTTCTTAGTATTGTCACATAGAAAGTCTTTGTGCATATTTATTAAATAAATGGTTACTCTGAGCAGAATTGAAGAATTGCATCATATTCATGTCCCTTTATTATATTATCTCAGGCAATTCTAGTAGGTCAAGGATAGGATTTTAAAGACACTGCTCATGGGTTAATAAATAGGAGCATCTGGGCTAATGTTTCTCAGAGTTTGATCCTAAAAGCTGCATTTTTAACAAGTACCTCAGGAGACTCCAATGTGTTATAAAATTTGAGTCACTGACCTAAGAAAAATATGGATAATTTTCATAATCTTACTTTGAAGGAAATTGAGAAAAGGCGTTAGAATAAAATAGTACGTGTTGGTCTTACCAACTAAAAAGTCTACCAGTTTTAGCTTAGCCTGAAGTTGCCACTTTATTATCATTCAGAAAACCAGAATTATAGTAAACTTTTCCAACTGAGTAATACATATCTACAGCTTCAACAAAATTCTCATTTTCTAGAGGCTGTGGTTCTTTTTTGTTTTTTTTTGTATTAAAATCTTACTATTCTATCTCTCATCAATCAAAAATACCCCAAAGATGCCACTGATATAATTGCCTTTATGTTTTTGCTTTAGAATATGTGTAATTAAGAAATCTGAGAGTTTTAATGTCTAAAGTGTTTGACTGTTCTTAAACCTATGGTAGAGTAGGAGGAAGCAGAAACATTTCTCCATGGAAATGCTGGATCTTTGTATAGCTTGTTATATTATGCTCTTTTTCTCTAACCATCTGTATCTGCAGTCTTTGCAAATATTATGTTAGTTAAGAAGCAGTAAAGCAGTATCACCTGTAACATAAGCATCAAAAAGTAGCATGAAGTTTGAAAAGAATGGAATGTGCTTTGATTTCATGTATAATATGCGTAAGTTTGTTAATTAGGACTAAATGTAATTATAAGTAAATGTAGGTTTTATTTATATAGTATGGCATAGTTACATGAGTTACAGGAGAAATTGAAAAACAGTACACACATAATAACTTTTCATCAGTAATACTTAATTTAGTAAGAATATTGGAGTACATTTTGATTAGTGGCTTTTCAGTACTTTTTATAACTTTGAATTCCGTTTCTTTCTACTCAAACCTGAGTATTTATGTTAGCAAACAAAATGAGCACAACTGTTCTTAGATGGTCAAAATCATGTCCAGCAGAGCATTTTGAACATACATAGTAAGTAGTCAGTAAATGTTTTGTTTATTTAAAAAAATTTTTTTTAAACTGTGTGTTAGATGACAAAATGAATACCGGATATAGGTTTCTAGAAGTGAACTTTTTAGTGTTACGTGAAAAATTAGACTAGATAATTTCTAATGGCCCTCATGAAAATGTTACATAAATATTTGCCTTCTCTCTTTTTGATCTAATTTTATTTACACACATGCATAAAAGTATAAGGTAACTTTACATTATTCTGTGTTATATCACGTATTATTGTAATAAAAAGGCAAAGCGGAAAAACTTCTTCATTTCTGGGAAACTATTCACATTTTGCAAAATACAAACCACAAATCATAATGCTTACATAGTGGTAGCTATTTCAGAACAATTTCTGATCAATAGATACTATTTGTGATTAATGACATGTTAATTTCAGGAATTTGAGAGGCGGAAGCAAGAGAGAGAAGAAGCTCAAAGGCTCTACAAAAAGAAAAAAATGGAAGTTTTCAAAATATTGAGCAAAAAGACTAAAAAAGGCCAACCAAACTTGAATTTACAAATGGAATATCTTCTTCAAAAAATACAAGAGAAAAGTTAAATACTCCATTTTGTTGTTAAGGGTTAAAATATCTGCTGCCTGTTAGGTTCTTTTTACATGTAATGAGTGCCTTCTAACAATGAACTCAAATTTGTGGACATTACCTGGATTGCCACACTGCAAATGTTTTTGTTCTTATAAAAGTTTTTATATACATGGTATGTAATATGACTGGCTTACTTATTTACTTCTGAAGGGAGGTTGTCTTAAAGAACCAAAAGAACCTTCTATTTAGCTTCTAATTAAGTCAAACAGGTAATACTTTTGTACCATATAAGTTTTGTGTGAAATAAAATGTTTTGAAAGTAAGGAAGCCAAGCTTTCAATGACATGGGGTGTTTCACTTTAGTCCTCAAAGTACATGGCTTTTTAAATTTATTTTAATGATGAGGGAAGCAGACTCTGCTTGGAATTTTTATTTATCATAAGCACATCCTACAAGAGCACAGAATTGTCACATAACTGTGAGTAGGAAACCTGGGAAACAGAAGTAACCTTTTGTCCGCACCATAACTAGGTAGATTTCATGAAGCAATTTGAAAGCAGCATGGTGGTGCATACATATAAACCCAGCCTTTAGGAGGCAAAGTAGGATTGATTGAGGCCAGCTTGGGCTACATAGTTTTAGGCTAGTCCAAGCTACATATTGAGGCCATATTTAAAAAGAAATAATAACAAAAAACCCCAAAACAGTTTTACTTAAGAATTAAGTCCACTATTTCTAAACAATCCCTTCAGTGGAAATATATATATTATTAGTGTAAGATCTTTTAAATGATTATGGGAACCCAGCAGTGCCACAGCAAGAATTAAGCTTTCCAGCTCCTGTGAGAGGGACCCTAACCTTGAACAGCATTGTCCCATGGAATGAATGCCTTTGGTAACTTCATGACCTGGAAGAAATTATAACTGCTTCTCTTGCCTTGCAATTGAGCCAAAGTAAGGAAAACTTACCTATGCATTGTAAACAAAAGGATTGTACCATAATCGTTATAAAACCACATAAGCTTATGAGTGATAGCAAATGCAGTTCAAAATTGTAAGGTTTTAGGGAGTGTTTGTACTCCACTGATTTCATCTTAAAATGCAGTAGGAGGCCAGATTTGATAAGGCACATCTGTAAATCCTAGCTGATCAGGAGAATTGTGGTTCAAGGCCAGCCCAGGCAAAATGGGATCTTGTGAACCCCATCTCAACCAACAAGCCAATCATGATAGTTTGTGTGTATAATCCCACCTATGTGGGAAGCACAGACTGTTTTAACCTTTAGTCCAAGGGTAAAACAGGAGACCCTACCTGAAAAATAAAGCAAAAAAGGGCTGGGTATATGGCTCAAGTGGTAGATTGGCTGCATAACAAGCACAAGGCTCTGGGTTCAAATCCTAATACTGCCATAAAAAATTGCAACAGGAGACGCTTAGGAAGCACTAAACTTTCTCTTTGTTGCATAGAAAACAGTGCTTAGAAACTTGCAATACACCATTGACCTTGAGCTGCCCACAAAGTCAAAATCTGGCTACACTGGTGAAGACGGTACATCATGTGAGAGTAAAAAATTTCAGTGAGCTCCTTTATAGTGATTTCATGTTTGTTTTCTAGATACTTTTTCATGACAAAGCATGAAAAGGGATCTAGTCTTCTGAGAGATGAGTGATAATTAAGTTCACTAACAACTTTTCTTTAGTAGCAATTATATGCAAGGCCTATATTCAGATGCCTTCCAGAGATCTAGGGTTGCAAATATCAAATAATGATAGTATAATCTAAAAAGCAATCAGTGGTAATAGGTACAAATCAAAAGACTCAAATTCAGTGTGATAGAAAATCGCCCACAGGACTTCATAAAAAGCACAATTGAGGATAGATGTGCATAGTATAGGTGGGCTCAGTAATGGGTGCTCTAACAAAAGTCCTGTGACTGCTGTGGTTGGTTCTCATATCACATTTTAGAAAACATTAGGCCAGAGTCTCAGAAAAGCTCATTTAAAGACTCAGTGAAAATAATCATTAGTGAAATGACACTTGAGAAAAGCCTTCAAGGTTGTGAAGATTACATGGAGGTAGCATAGGAAAATTGCGAAGAGAAGAAAGCTTGAGATGTACTTCCGTGTAAAAGAACAGCTATGAAACAATGTTACTGCTAATGGCAGGGGGATAACACTACTTCACCCCATAAGGAAGAGCACCATCTCTCTTCCCACTTCCATTCCCCTTCTCTTGATGGGGTTTCAGGGGACCTTCCTGCCCCAGTCTCCCAAATAACCAGCACTAGAGGCATGTGCCACCACCATGCCTAGCCTGAGTGCACATATGCTTGGTTGCCATTCTCATACTGCAAATTATAAAAATAGGCTTTATTGATGAAGGGTAAGGGAAGGATGGATGCAACACTGGAGAAGCCTGTATTTTGGAGAATGTAACCTCCAAAATGTGTGCTTTATGCTGGTGGAGTGCTTGCCTATCATTTTCAAAGCCCTGGGTTTGAGCCCCAGAATTGCAAAACAAAACAGCATAATATGCTGCATGTGTCCAATATATCAAGAAATAAAACAGGAGTAAAATTTGAGGGATCACCATACAAAAGCAGAGAGCACCATATACATGGAGAGCCTATGGCTTTCTGTGGCTTTAGGCTTCAATTTTTAATGTGTACTCAGGGAGTTTTGATCTTGGTCGATCACAGAAGTTTTTACTGAGCCATTAGTTTGAGTATTGCAAGTGTGCAGCAGGCTTTTAACTGCTGCAGTTTGGGCAAAAGGTGTTAAGCCTTAAGACACACATGAGATTTAGACCTGAAATTGAGAGCAGGTTTTTCTACAGGAAATTAATTACTCTACAGAATGCAGAAGTGTTCTGACCTCAGCAAAGCAATAGGGTATGGTATTGGGGTGGTGGGGTCATGGTGTGGCTAGAGCAAAGGCACAGAACGCAGAGGGGCTCACCCAAATGCTGGCCTCTGGATGACCTCAGCTGATGTCAAACCAGGTGAGACTTGGTAAGCTACCCTGACTGCTAGCATCAAGAAATGCACTGGCAAGAGTGGGTAGCCTCAGATGCAGACTACTGTAGCTTGACTTTGACCTACGTTAAATATGCAAATATGAGTAGCACTTACCTAATCAGAGGCTTCAAACAATCCTCTTGGTGGCAAGAATTTAATGACAGAGAAAAGAATACTCTTAAATATGTGTGTTCATGCTGCTCTTGAACTTTAAGGCAGATGCCTGTATACGACATAAATGTTCCAGAAAAGCTCAAGTCTGCAATTCAATGATTTGCATGAACTTCCATGCCAGTGTTAAAGTTGAAAATTTAAATATAAAGATATTTTGACCATTCTAGTTGGGAAATATCAGAACCAAGTCAAAGGAGACTAGGTGATCAGCAATGTACCACTTCAAATGCTATATTTTGCAAGATATTGTTAGTGTCTCAATTACCACCGTCAGAGAGAGGAAGATAGTGTACCATGCTGGATGCATGATGATAAATTTAACTTCTTGTATACAAATACCTTCCTTTTTTTTTTTTTGGCAGTAATGGGGGTTGAGCTCAGGTCCTTGTGCTGGCTAGGCAGGCACTCTACCAACCATTTGAATGACACCATCAGTCCTTTCTTCTTTATTTTTGAGGTAGTGTCTCGCTTTATGCCCTGGCTAGCCTGAACTGCAATTCCCCTACATATGCTTCTCTGTGTAGCTGGGATAACAGTCACTGCACCCAATGACTTTTTTGGGGTCTTGCAAACTTTTTGCCCTGGCTGGCCTTCCTCCAAACCACGATCCTCCCAATCTCCACCCCCTGAGTAGCTAAGATTATAGATATGGGTCACCATGCCAAGCTTCCAGTTTAGTTTTAAGTGTGCAGGTGATGTGAACAGCTTTATCCTGAATAGGATAAAGTCATTACCAGCTATCTCTCTACATGAGTTACTACTATCGAGGTTCGAGTTTCTGCTACATTTATATTTGGCAGTAACAGTTGCTGGATCTGGGAGATTTTGTACAGGCGAACTGCCTGAAATTTATGTTTGGTGAGTATAAGGCAAGTGTTATTATCTTGAATGTTTTGTTAACTCTGGGCCATTTAAAAGTCAAAGGACACCACAGACTTAATGTCAAATTAATTTGACTTTTGAAGAGCTCAATGAGTCACATCCATTCTTAAGAAATACATTTACCCTGCTAAGGAATCTACCTAAGCATTAAGAGCATTTCTGACTATGAATGAATGAAGTAAGAAACTGGGGGAGAACTTCAATTTTGTTGAACTTTTAACCTTATAACAGCAAGAGGATTTGATTCTGGAATCAATTTTTTTTATCTTTGGATATTAATGCACAAAGTAATTTAATATAGACTTCATTTTCTCCCTAGGAATTTGATAAGGGAAAAATTTATACTAAAATGCAGAGCATCAATATTTTGCTGACTTTTTCTGGACTGTATGTATTTGCATAATTCTCATTGAGAACACCTCATTGAACACCACAGAGCTGATTGCCCTATGGCAGAAATGCACATCGCAGGGCCTGGGGGCCCTGAGTTTTACAAACAGATTCATTGAGCTGGGTTTGGTGGTGTATACCTGTAATCCCAGCATTCAAGGGACAGAAGAAGCAGGATTGCAAGTTTGAGGCCAGCCTGGGTTATGTAGTGAGATTCTGTCTCAAAAACAAAACGTGAAAGAGATTCATTAAAGTACAATTGATTAAGCATATTGACAACATACAATTTAGTGAATTTTGATACATTTTACACCCAGGAAACCATCTCCCCAATCATCTACCATTCACCATCACCTTCATAATTTTCCCCATGGCCCTTTGTAATCAATCTTCCCAGTGACTCTCCAAATTGGGTCCATATACTCCCTGATCTATTTTCTGTTATAATATAGTTGACAATTAAAATTTTTTTATAATTGGAATAATACTGAATTCTATTTTTGCATCATTTTTGTAGTCAGCATAATTATTTGGAGATTCAGCCATTCTATTGCATTTATCAGTACTTTTCCTTTTATTGCTTAGTATTCTGTTGTGTGCATATGCCTTGATTTGTTTATTCACTGAACTATTAATTGACAAATAGGTTGTTCCCAGTTTGGAGCTCTTATAAATAAAGCTACTATGTCTTTAGCCCCAATGCCTGCACCATCTCACCCCCATGTTCTAGCTCCACTGACCTGTCTCAGAGCCTCTTGTCCTGCCATCTTCTTGTCTCTCATCTCTGGGCCTGAGCATGTGCAGTTCCCCCTGCCTTAACTGCTCACATCCCCCACTGCCTGGCTTACCTTCAGCCTTTCAATTTAACTTAGACATCCCTTTGTCCATTTATTCCTTCAGTGAGTGGGTATCTACCAAGTGCTAGTCTCTGCTCTAGCCACTAGTG